GAAACAGTTAGGTGATGTAACAACAACTAATGTTAGGTCCTACAGGATATATTAGGTCTATTTTTAGATTACCCTGGAACAGATTGTACTACAGCAAAGATCTAATCTATATGTAGCTGTCTGTCAGTTGTTATACAAGTCCGTAACAACTAGATAATCAAAAACAAAATAACATCTCCTGTTGGAGATGTATACTGGATGGCAGATTGATAGTTGATTGCCACTGTGAACAGTTACCGGAATCCCCCCCTCCCCCTGTATCCTTCTTGATTGGTCACTTTGTGTCAACGTTCCTGTGCATCTGGTTGAGCAGCGTGTCTGAAGGTGTGCAATCCGGCCCAAGTCATTGTCGAACATGCCAGCCAGTCCACTCTTATTTACCCTCGTACGGAACGAGCCTTACACCTAGTTGATCTGGCTGATCAGGAGGAATTTTAGGAGAGCCCCCATCTCCTCAGGAATTATTTAACGTCGCAGTCAGGACGACGATCACAGCCAGATTCAATCCGAGTTCCCAACCAGAAATATTTATAGACGGTCTGGTAAGTGTCTCATAAAAGGCTGGCATGCCCGGGTAGACCTCTATTGCGCAAACAACAGAACCAAGGACTTGCAGCCCAAGCATGCGTGTACGAGTCCCAGCGGGTTGGCATGGTGACCGTGACCCGAGTGCTTCGTCTAGGGCCCTTCAGAGGCTTCGCCCGTCTCCCACCAGCTTGCTGCCCAGAAAGAATGTCGACTCTCAAGGTTGAGCGCTCGCGACACCTCACACTGAGAGGACTCTCAAGACAAAACTCACTTCCTCACGCTAAGAAGAGATGAAGAGGGTAGATAAGGAAGAGAGCAACGTATCTCATTAATGCTGCCCCCAACCACAAATTTCTCACCGGTAACCTGATGTGCAATTATGATGACCGGTCCTTGCCTCAGCACAACCAACAGCAGAATGCGGTTCCACCTTGGCTTAATATGTCACATCAGCGAGTTCTCATCATCCAGCATACACCCCGTATGTCACCACATAGCTCCCTGGCGCGCCCACACAACCCTGGGCCGCCTACCGTTCAACGCCAATGCCTTATCACTGCCCCACACCTCATGCGAAGCACCAATAGCTATTGCGAAGAACCAATGAAGCGCAATATGAACCAGCTCCGGTACCAAATTGCAAGGAAAATAAGTAACAGCGAAATGACAATTCCAGATCACACCATCACATTGTAAGCCAAATAGTCACATCGTGTCCAAAGAGCAGCATTGCACCAATAATACACCAATGGAGGTTCGTAGCACTGAAAACCAATGTTCATGGAGAGCATACTCTCTCCTCCCAACACAAGAGTCCAGTTCCTTCACACTCACACTTGGCACTCAGCGCCCAGCCTACTCCTACACAGCTACTACAGACTACAAAAAGACAATGCAACTGTTGACATCAGCGGCAGCCCAAAGTACTTGAAGATGTCGCCCATGCAGACCATGGCCAATACAAGGTATGTGCCCTCACATCATCATCATCATCATCATCATCCTTCACCTATCCCTTGACTACACCCACGTCTGTCCTCTGTTTCACCCGAAGACCACCACTGCGCCTCATTGTAGGCCAAGCCCACAAGCTATGGTGGCTGGGCTATGGCGCTGCCCTCAGCAGCGCCCTCCTCCTTTGCACGACCGCATGTGCTGCACCTCGCCTCTCAGCGCTAGCAGCAGCCTACGAGCATGAGCTCCAGCAGCGCTGCCGCCAGCATGCGAGTGCCTAAATGAGGCAGCCAGGGCCGAGCTCTTTCCTTTATGGAAAGAGTTGGCCTGCTCACGCAACCTGGCTGCCCTGGCCTGGGCCCAGAAGCTTCCGGAAGGCCCCAGGAGGCTGCCTGGATGCAGCAGCTACTGGGCTGCTGGGCCTCGTTCGGTTGGGCACCAACTGTCTTTGTATGAGGCTGCGAATCATGCCCAGGGCCTGCATTCTTTGGAAAGGSCCGGTAGGCCGTGGAAATGTCTTYGKTRCKCGGCYTGTGTTTCTTTCAACCAACTGGCGCGTCGCAACTGCYKGGACCCCAAATATGAAATTGACAKTCGAGGGCCTCTTGCAAAAAGCCAGGCCCGCCTTCACTTAGGGCGGGCACCTCCGCCTTCACTTAGGGCGGGTAAGGCTGCAAACAGGGTCCCATAGGCCTTACCGAGGACCCTGATCCTCGCACATGCTGCTGGAGCGCATCGCTGGACTGGTGCAGCGCTGCTTGGAGGTGAAAGGCCGCTGGAGCTCAGCCTGGCTATGGCGAGCAGTCCAGCTTGAGGAGGAGGAAGAAGGGGGCATAGTAGGAGAGTGGCGGGGCACGTACCTGGCTATGGTAGACACCATCTTCATCAACTTGTTGGGCGCTGCATCTGGAAGGCCCCAGTTGGGGTAGTGCGGCACCAGGGAAGCTCGAGGCAGAGTCAGGCATGGCGGACCAGGCAGCAGCAGCATAGCTGCTTTGGGTTGTCCTTTGGACATCAGCGCAGCACCATAGCTGCTTTGGGTTGTCCTTTAGACATCAGCGCAGCACCATAGCTGCTTTGGGTTGTCCTTTGGACATCAGCGCAGCACCATAGCTGCTTTGGGTTGTCCTTTGGACATCAGCGCAGCACCATAGCTGCTTTGGG